TAACTATCATATGATGTCATCAATCAAACTCAACTGTTTCTCCAATTCTATTCATTGCATAATATTAATTTAAAATAATTTAATCATTTGTCCTAATAGTTCAATTCTTATTGACTGCAGTTGAATATAAGTTTTGAGACAAAAGTATTAAATTTCTTATCCTGATAACAACATAACAATAATATTTGAATTTGTATTTGTTTTTTATATACGTGTAATATTGAATATGGTTTTTCATAACAGAAAATTATTTGATATAGTGATATGAAACTGTMAACCCAGTCAACTGAATACTCAATGACGTGAAAAAATGTTTCTATAAGTCATATCTGGAAGCAATCTTGTTGAGAACTACTTATCGGGGACTAATATTGAAACATATTTCTTTTAGGATGGAAAATGAGGCTTTGAATAAGAAGTTATGATCCCACATAAGTAAGCCGTGTTGTATGGGAAATACAATCTTAAAAGAAAAACAAGCTAGCCAAGCCAAATAATAAAGGTCTATTTTCATAAATTTGAGAGAGCCATTCAAGCTTACCTGGGGGGGGGGGGTTGTGCTGCACGACTCTCAAAACCCTTACCATTTACCAAAACCCAGACCATTTCTTTTATTTTACATATCCTACCCCACACTAAAGTTACAAATCAAGGTACATTATTTTAGCGTTGAAAGTGTGGCCTAGCAGATACGATCACATACTCTATCCTAGACAAAAAAACTACCCTATGGCAGACAAAACTACTAACCTATTWACCCAGACAAATGGGCCAAAAATGATACCCCATCCCAGACATGGAGCTCCGAAAAAGGGACCCTATCCTGCGGCACAGTACCCGTATAGCAAATATAGGGTAGTACAYYCCCCCTTCCCCCGGGCTAGCWTAGTGCAGTCTGGAGACTCTGGTTTGCTTCATGTCTCCAGAGGAAGAAGGGACCCGATCTGGTTCACCAGATCCTAAAACACACACACTTGCCTATGTTGAYAGTGTGGGCAGCGAAAATTCCCACAGAATTCATAAAATGACCGTGATGACKGTTAATCACAAKAAATATAAACTAGATACATCTTGTTTTCTTGTCATTTATCGCAAAAAAACTTAACAAACAATCCAATTTTTGTGCTCACCTTCGCGATCGAGTTTTCAATGTCCGCCATCTTAGCTTCAAGTTTCCCGCTAAATTACAAATAGCACAACGTGATTGGTCAAATTCGTATCGATGACAACATGGTCATAACACAGGGAGTCCACAACTACTACATTGCGTGACTCAGCAATGGCGGCCGCCAAGTCACCAAAGTTCTCTGTTAAGAATGTCCTTGATTTGGCAGACTTGTATAAGTCAGGCAAAACATTGAAAGATGATTCTTGGGCTGCTTTTCATAGAATATTCAAAATTACTAGTGCCACTGGCAAAATGAATACGCCGAGAGAGTTCGACTCGAAACTTGTAAAGTGGTTCCACRTAGACGGCGATTCTGGACCCGAAGAATCAATTCATCGRGCTCGTGAACAGACTGTCGGTAAGTTCAGAATTTCATTCTTCGTCGTCTAAATCTTAACTTAATATATAACTTGATGTAGGAATTATTCGTCCCGTATTTGCAAAGGAATGGAAATCAACTGAAGGCACACTATGGTTAGAAAGTCCACTGGGTGGAAAGTCAATGCCGGTCAGGTCAAATCATGGATATAATTGCAAAGATTGTCCCCTCTTTCCTAATATGGAAATGTACTGTCCATTGGTTTTATGGTGAAAAAACATTTAGGGCCAGGGGCATGGTAATTGCAGTTGTAAAGGCTCAGGGAAGTCAGGGTTTCCAAGGGGGGGTGGTGCCCCAGTGCTCCATAATACATTATGTGCCCACTCTTTATTAAAAAGATATAAATTAATCATGTCAATATTGATATCATTATTTTTCAGTGCGTGTATTTGATCGTTGGTCATGCAACCAGACATGTTTCAATGCTGCAAGAGCCTGCAAACCATACAACACAAGAGATAGATTTGAGCCATTAAAAAGAGAGACCTCAACTATTGATGGACCTGTTGAAGGTTGTGACTTTTGTCAGCCATATCAATTCACAGCTGAAGGTTAGAATCCTAATCGAGGGGTGAACCAAAATTTCAATTTTTTTCAAACCCACCATCTGCTTGAATGAGTTTGTGATGTCAAAGTAGCATTTATTGTTGATGTATCACACCTTTTTGTGCCATAAGTCTAAGAGTGACCAGGAACATTATGAGGCCTCTGGCCAGTTTTTTTGGGGGAGGGAAGATATCTTTTTTCTGTATTTTCCTAGCTTAACCATCACACTTTTTACCATAATCTGTGGTCCTTCCCAGGAAAAATCAGAATGTTAAAAAAGTTATTGTGAAATTTATATGTACTCTGGTATTTAGATGTCTTTGGAAGGTTAGAAAACGATTCTGTTCTGACAGCATCTAATGTAGCCAAGTATGATGCGCTCCATACAATGGTCATCTTCAAGGAACATGCACCAAGTCATATTACAAAGGTAATCATACTCAGTTGCAGCCTCTCCTCCTTTTAATGGGCTTCCTGTTCTTTGAAGAAGACTACAATTAAAATGAATAAGAATAAACATGACACCATACATCTCTACACTTGCTATCTTGAAAGCTGGAGCCACATGAAGCCTCTGAGCACATCTCTGATGATCTATTACTTCAATGTTTATACACCAACTTCATCTTATTTCTGTTGTGTTTCAGACTAAAGTATTTGACATGTTTGAAATAGCAAAGCARTGGTTTGACATCACACATGAAAAACACCCCAACTTTGTCTACCCAAACATTTCCTGGAACTGCAGGTCAAGAGCTGGTGCCTCTCAGCACCATGGCCAYGCCCACATGTGTCTTGCCGAAGAGTTCCACTATGGGCATTGGGAACRYTTAAAGCAGGTGTCTAAACTGTATGCTGACGAATACCCTGGAAGGAATTATTTTGATGACTTTGTAGAGGCCCATCATGTACTGAAGCTTGCACAACCCATCGGCRATGCCTGGCTACTGATCCACCTTGCACCATATTGTGGATATGAATTRAAGGTTTTATGCTGGGATTTGACAGAAGACTTCAAGACTGCTGTGTACAAGGCTGTAAACATGCTTGTCAATGAGTTCAACTCACAATGCTTCAATGTCTGCATTCAATTTCCACCCCTTCAGAATGGCAACCTTCGTCCTCCAACTGGCTCACCAAAGCRTATGAAGTTTGAAAAACCRAATGGGAGTAAGATGCCTTTCATAGCTCATTTAGTTGACCGAGGGGACATTAATAAAGGGACATCTTCTGATGTATGCAGTATGAGGATTTATGGTAGTGCTATAGTCAATGAGGACCCTTTTATTTTAGCAAAGAAGCTGGAATGGTTATGATAATATAAACTTTTGATATTCATGCTGATTTTATTAATTTTTCAATTTAGACAAGGTGAATTCACTGATCAAAGCTACATTGTATAAAAATCAATTCATTCTATAGATTCACCTTTTGTTGCCAAGCAACACTGTGGATCGTATTGGAATTTTGAAAATGTTTCTTTAATCCAATAACACTACATATTAAGGAAAAAAATATTATTATTGAACAGCTTGTTTTTACCTTTTCCATTTTTTCTATTTATGTTTTAAGACTGTCCAGTGCAGAATGGTCTTCTCAATCAACCAGAACAGTTTAAAATATGGCTGATATAAAGCAAATCAATCATTTGTTAAAACTTTACTTGACATCTGGAATGATCACTGAATAAGAACTATCATTTAGAAACTATTTACATTTTATTTCAAAGAAAGAAAATGCACTCTAGGAGCCTTGAAAAGCGCACTATTTTTATATTAATGAGTAGGAATAATAATACTAGTTRGTATAGCTATAGTTAACTAATACTAACAAACTAGGAATTTTACCAAACACAATTCAGTTGTTTGTCTTTTTATTCGTCAAATCCAGTAATATACACATACATTTAATGCCTATAATATGATTCAAAGTTAGAAGTATAGAATGGTCCTTTTATATGGAAAACAAACGGATGTAAAGATGTGATCCAGTTTCTTTTCCTTATGCCATTCTACACTCCTAACCTACACTACTATATATTGTACAATCATTATAAAAACTGTCACAGAGCACAACCCATGACAGCTTTCTCTGTGCTTTACACAAAATGTTTATCAGCTTCATTGAATGGATTGTTTTTTGATTAAATTCTAAAGAAYGACAAAGTCAGTGCAACTAATTCCTGAAGAAAGACTTTCATGGGGTTCGCAWGTTCAATTTTACATTTACAGAGCTAGATAGTGATGTCATTACAGTAAACAATGTGTGTACACAACCACTTTYAGTATTAAAGAATAACGTTTGCAAAGCAAAAGAGTGTGAACTTTTATGTTTGTTAAATGTACATGTACGAAGTGTGCTCAGAATGTACACTGGACACAGTAAATGGAACTGACAGCCGTACAACTCCATTTTATCAAGAACACTTAATTACAAAAGGCAGAAAATGACCAAAAAAGAAGAAAATTTAGTCAAATATTTGAAAGTAAAGTTGCTTTGTAGCTTTATACAATCAAAACACATAAAAAATGGTCATTTTGGCATAATTCCCTACAACAGTCTTGAGATGATTGCCTATTGTTGCTTTTACATGCCTTAAGAAGACATACAAAGATTATGAGAAGTTTTGCCTACTAAATTATTCATCATTCTACTTGTATGTCCTTCTATGTCCATATTTAATTGTACTAGTTAAAATGTTTGTACAATATTTGTATTTTGAACAAAAATACATTTCCATGAGAAAATGTGTAATATGTTGTAGTCAAATGCGTGATAAATTCTATAATTCTTGAAGTCTGTAATAATCTGGGGATATACAATTGGACATTTTTCTGTTTGATAATTATTAAAACCTAGGTATTAAGTATTTGGGAAAAGAATTATTGATACTTTTTCTACTTGGCTTTGACTTATTTGCAGCCATGCGTGGTGCTGGGCTTTTCCTTTAGTTTAAACAACAAAGGATGAGTGCCAAAGCTAAAACAAGCCTTGAAGAAGGCTTAAATTTCCATAAGCATTTTCTACTTCAAAAGTAAAGGAATCTTTAAACTAATCAAGCATCTATTGTGTTAAATGTAACACAAAGTTTCTGATGATAGATGATTTGATGATTATTAAAATTAATTTAGGAAAAAGCTTGGTGTGGTGTAAGGTTGTTAGCTATCCCAAAATATAATTTAGAAAGGCTTCTTGGTTAAATCACTAGTATGTACAAGTTGCCAATCAAACACCAAACTGAAAATCCTATCCTTGTTATTATGGTGTGTACATATGGTTAAACTATCTGTGTCATCTATATATCACTTCCATAACTGATTATTAAAGGTATGGCCAGTTGTCGGCATGGCAGCCATGGGTGAGGCGTTATAGACTGGTCCAGTACTGACAAATTGTGGTTGTTGTTGCTGATAATGCATCATATGTTGGTTTGTCATTAAGTTCATGGCTTGCTGTTGACCTAACATGGTTTGGTTACTATTGTACATATTAAACTGGTTTGGTTGCTGTTGCATTTGTGGAAATTGTGCTTGTGGATTTTTCTGGAGTTTTAGTTGCTGCATTTGACTTTGAATCTGTGACAACTGAAATGAATAACAGAATATCATCCTTAGAGGTAATATATAATCAATTTTGGCAAACAATTAAGATTGGTGTAACAATATGTCACTTGATGATTGTGGTCTTGTTTAGACCACACATAACAGTATGGTTGTTGTATCAATAATTTGTTTCTTTTTATATGTAAATTACAAGTTTAAACAATGACAAAGTGAAATTAGAAAGTTGACTGATGAAATGCCCACAAATTTGCCCTTTTAGCACCCTTCAGAACATACATGTAAGACTTTTTACTTGTAAAAGTGGAACCAAAAAAATCAACTTTTTGATTTTGAGTCAGTACAGGGATATCTGCACAGTACAATGTACATATTTTGCATGTAAATATGAAACAAAGAAAATGCAATAGTTCACACTAGTTCATCCATGAATTTGTCACAGACCTGTGCCTGCTGTTGCTGTGGAGTTGCGTGCTGCATTAGACGTTGTTGGGGCATGTGCATGGGCATCATGTGATGTTGATAAGGTCCAGTGTGCATGTGAGGACCATTCATCATGGTGTGCGGTGCTTTCTGCATTGCTGGTTGCTGTTGTGAAGTGATGTACATTCCTCCTGGAACACCATACATTTGAGGTTGGTGATTGCTGGACGATGTTCCTGTGCTTGAACCAAACAATGCCATGATACTGTCTAGTGTCACAAAACAAAACACAGTCAATAAACAATAATAACATATTACTACGCTTGTATATTGGATTAAAATTATGAAAGTTGATTAGGTACAAAGACTTAGAAAGATTCAGAGTGAGAGATAACCAATGAAATTGTCACGATTGTGGGAAATGTTTAGACATTGACAAATACTTGTAACACCCCAATCAAACATTATTCTTTACTGCAAAATACTATTCAAGTAGTAAAGAATACCTTTTGTTGACTTAGATGTGGATGTATCATCTTTCAAGAGTGATTCTTCATTGTTAACTGGGGCAGCATTCTGAGAAAGGCTGGCCAACTAAAAAACAAGTAAATAAATGAAAAAGGGAAGTTCAAGTTCACAAAAAATACCCACAAACAACCCAGACTCATTAATAGTGTTTCTATATAATTTCATGTACAGACAATGTTTTGGATTTTTTATTATCATTTTGCATCAAATAGCAATACCATTGATGAGTCTGGACTGCCTGTGAAATGCTGAGAGGGTCAACTAATCAATAAAATAAAATTAATACATTGTAAAATAAAGAGTCCCGGTTCAAAAGGTCATTGACCTGCACAAAACAATTGGCAATTTACCACTACAAATAGTGATTCTTTTCCCTAATGAGTGCAGATGCAAGTTGTGATATTGTGTTACCTGCTGGGGTTGTGATGGTGGTGATTGACTTAAACCCTGGGGTCCACCTTGGAATGCCCCAAAATCAATCAACTAAACAAATAAAATTAAACAAAAACATGCAAAATGAAATTAAATTAAAATCAAAACAAATTGATACAATGATAAGGAAGATGAATAAATGAAAATAAAAGAACAACAAATTGCATTTAGAATTACATGCTTATGAAAAAGGAACAAAATATTAGGTCAAATGAAAACTTTTGCACAACTATTTAGCACTTAACCATGCTACTATAAATACTCTCTAACTGGGCTATCCACTTAGAAAAAAAACCTATCAGAAAACAATAAAACCAGACAGTGATGGAAAGAGTTTTACAGTTCTCAGCACCATCTTGAAAGGTAGGCGAGCCTTTGACACAGCTGAACACTGTTATTGCTCTGCTATCTTTCAAGAGAGACATCACTGATATTTTAAAAAAGAGCACTAACCAATCAAATTATACCATCCTCATACCTATAACAGTGAAAGCTGCAACATGATTGGCTATTCATCAATTCGTTTAAGGTTGCCCTACTTAGAGTTACCTCAATGTATATTGGTGACATCATCAGAAAGGACATAAATTATCAAGTACACCTATGCACTCTTTAGAAGATATTAAACCAATAAGAGCTTATAAGCCAAATTAACCATTCAGAAATCTGTATAGAAGTTACCTCATCAGCAAGTGATGTTGGCTGTGGTGCAGGCTGTGCAGGTTGTTGATTTACAACAGGAGCAGGAGTATCGAGGGACAGGAGGTCTGCYGATGGAGGGTTTGGCTTGGAAGTYGCTGGAATTACTGGAGCAATMGCTGGTGCTGATGGTTGAGGTTGGGTTACCTTTGGTCTTGATACTGGTACAGTTGTATTCGTCTAAATTGGTAAAAAACATTGATTATTTTACTTAATGACACATGGTAAATCTCCTGATCTGCTTAAAGTAACCACTTAGAAAAGAAGCACAGGAACCCCACAGTTGAATAGTGTGCTAATGTTTTGATCTAGATATAAATGCATTAAATCTTATTCTGAAGAAGTAGGACAATACAGCGAATGTATTTATGTATGTAGCAATGCCAGAAGAAATAAAGTTGTCCTTTATTTACCTTGTTGATTGTTTCTTGTATTTTAGGGATAACAATTGGTGTCTGGTCTTCTATCTGCTTCTTTTTCTTTGTTATCTTAGTTAAATACGTGCATTTACATAAAGTGCCTATATACAGTGCTTAAATGTTTAAAAATACAATTTTTTATTATACAACTTCTTGTTTGAAGATATTTTAGTGGCCATATAATCAAATTAAATGAAAGTATTCAGATTTTAATAAGCTTTGATGGCCAAAAAATATATTTACCAGAAAAAAAGAAAATTTTGACTTTGAGAATCAAGTGCTTGAAATAATATCTGGTAGAATCAGGCTTAATTTATTATATTTTTAAGTCTAAAATAATTCAAGTAAAAATTTGCGATAGACAACGAGATAATATTTATGTCACAATGGTGTTTCATAATCTTTATCAAAATATAATTCAAGTCATGATGCTATTTCTTAGTTACCCAGGAAACCAAATTTCATTGAAAGMACTCRGMTGYTGACATACCTTTTCTTGCTTTGGAGCCGAAGCGGCTACATTAAGATCTGATTTAGGAGGAAGGCCATCCTTCTTGACATATTTCTTGTGTTCGTATTTATTTCTGATGAAAGTCTCTACAGCACTGGACAAAAATCAAAGTTGATAACAAATTAACCAATTAAATTTAACAAACTACACACCTTTATAGAATATAATGGTTGGTTAGTTGGATGTACCTACTAATGCATGCCAGTCAGTATACTTTCACGTATTTATTCGTACAGAAACGTAAGCTTAAAACAATGTTATTCAGAAGTTACACTGACGTACATGTATTAAAGCACAGCCTTTGTATGGAGGTTTACTAATTGTAATTTTCATACTAATTTTCATGAAGAGATGTTAGTGAAGAAATCATTGTGATCTGTGGTAAAGATTATAATGAATATGATTTTTAGAGATTAAAAAAGAAAGACTAGTGATAAAAAGAAAAAATGTGTCCTCTAAAGAGTGAGAAAAGTAACTGACACATTAGACATAGGTTCCTTGTCCCATGAAGTGACAATGTCCGAATTGACAACAAGTTTTCTTTCAACAGAAATTATAGATTGCTATTTACTTTCTTTGAGAAAAATGGAATAGCCAAAAAGCAAGGGAGAGAAATACAGAGGCTGTCCCAATCAAGAATAGAAGCGGGTCCACATAAGTGACTCTACCAGCACTCTCATTGCCATTAATGCAGTACCTATCAAAATCTGCTTTTTGATTGCTCTATTAGTATAGAACCTCTATTGTCAGGTTAGGTTTTGTTTAAATGTTTGTAAAACCATCTATGGCTTGTCCATTGTTTATCAATATATTATGAGATTCGTTCTTAAAAACTGCAAGAGGTCTATCATTGCTTACAAACTTATGCTGAGATTTTTTCTTGATACATATAGCACAATAATCTTTAAATAATATTATTGCAAAAGCTCAGTCAAAATCATGGAAAGACCAAAAATTAATCTTTAAGATAGTTTGACATTGATAACTTTCAACAGCAACAGAAACCAAGACAGTTTCATTTCATAAGGAGAGTTCTTTCATTATTTTTCAGATACAGAATCAGGTTGATAATAACAATGAGCAAACTGATACAATTTATGTACACTGTTACAAACAATGCTGTACAACAAAAAACCTACAATGTCAAATGTTAGACATGAATCATATAATAATCTGATATTTCAACTTATTTCTGAATAAAATCAGAATATTAATAGGTAGTGTACCTCATTGTTTTAAAGCACTCGTCAAATTTTGATTATTTAAACAAATCAATTACATGTACTTAATGTCAAACTGGAAACAGGTAACGAAAAAATAACGWGAAAAATARTTTTTGTACTCATTTTTGTTTGTTGGTACTTTTTTCTCAAGTGCTTACGATTGACAGTGACAAAAAAGGTTGAAAATCATGGGTAAACAATATAATTTCACATCAAACTGTAGACTTACGAATTAGTTTGTGGCCTATGAAAATCTTTAGGTAAGAAACACTCCCAATACATCCCAGCTCGTCTATTTCCCCAATCTTGGATATTCTAAAACATAAAAAACCTTCAGTATTGGTATAACAATCAATCGATGTGTTGACAGTAAGATTTTTTACTTACAGTCATTTGCTCTGGTGTCCAAGAATCTAGATTAACCGATTTGACTTTAGATATATGCACTCCTAGATTACGATGTATTCCAGCGCAACGAATACATAAAAACACTCCCAAGTTCCATGACGCCCATCTTGGACCTGSAAAATACAACACAGCCGTCTGTAAAACCAAGATAATCGGGTATAAAACTTAAATAAAGTTAATCAAATCAAGTCAACAAAACGGTCAACTGTGCTAAGACGAAGGAAGGTACCTTTGGCCCCACAATCCGAACAGTACTTGTTACTCTCCTCCTTCAACATCTCAGCGAGGATGACTTGGTTCTTGTTTTTCGTGTGGTCCTTTTCCCGTTGTGATCGAGCGGCCATTTTCGATGGTAAACGACTGAAGTTTTTACAGTACCGCGATCAAGATTTCGAATCAAAAATGGCCACCGAAAGAGGGAAGTTGTAATGTTGTGAGCCCGCGATCAACCATTGCGTAAGAGTGACGTCATAACTTGACGTCATGTCGACACGTAACATAAAACGATTCTAMATGCATTTTCATGTAAATGGCCTTACTGCCTTCTTCTAGCCTACCTGACGTCTAACACTGAAAMGTTTGCCAATGTCGATTGACGCAATTATATTATCTAGAAAATATTGAAAAGTCTTTTCTTAGAAAATATAAAAATATCTGCTAAAATATAAAAAACTGTGCACTAACTCAACACAGTCACGTGACCACTAAATGAACACAGTCACGTGACCTGAGTTTTATATTATATATTTTTTTTATAATAGAAATACCTATAGCATGATAAAATTCATTGCAATAAATGATGTAATATTGTCTGTAGAAAGTTCTTTTCTGCCGTTTAATTGTCATTTCATTTCTGTTCGAACGGTACCCGTTACGTAAACGCTTGATCTGTAAAATGAGCGAATGGCTAGTGCTTTTTACGCTAACCGTTACGCTTTGCAAAATTCATATCGACCGATATCATGGAGTACTGGCCACGGAAGTATCACAGACTGAGTATGGATCAACTGTTGTTTGACAGTTTTAAAATTATCACTTGCTTAGATTCTTATACCAGCTTAGAAAAAAGGTAAAAAATATTAGTAAATAAAGAAAGCAGAAACGTACTGATAGCTACAAATAATCAGATTTTAAGTGACTGATAAGATTCGACGAGAAAAAACTTTGGAAATAAAGCTGCGACTCAAGATGCCGGATGCGCCGGTTATAAATCTTCGTCAATAAATCGATATACACTGTCATTTGCAACACTTCTGAACGTTAACAAATTTCATTGTATCGTGTGCATCATGGGTAATTTCATGCCGTTTTCACTCTGCTAAAATAGATCACAAATTATTCGAGTATTTTGCAATTAACATGTATTAAAAGGTCCCCTGAGCATAATCCGTAGTTTTATGACTAGCTAATTAGGGTTCTAATTTGAAATATTAACAACCTATTTGTTGATATATTTATATAAGTTAGCTGCCAGAATTTCTTCAATTGATTGTAATATTAGGACTATAGCAAAAATGATGAGAGTGGAAGATTAATGAAATATATAAAGAGACATCAACGATGATAATGATGAGATAATAATCAGCAATCGTGATTATTTAATAGATGATTACTGAGGCACGAAGCATTCGTAGGTATAACGCAGGCAGCTGAGGGCGCAGCCCGAACTTTGAGCTAGAGTTATTTATCTAGTGGTGAATTTATTTATCTGAACATGCAATAACTAAAAACCGTCACAAAATCACCTAGAATGCGTAGCGGCTAAAAATCCACAAAACAACAAAAAACATGCAAAATTGTGCCAAATTATAAATTCAAAACTATGTGAACATGCGTTGCCTTTTCAGCATGGAACATAATGTCCCACAGCACGTATGGGAGCTAAGTTTATCATAAGTCAAAAACCGATAATTTCTAAATGGGTGCATGCTGGGTCTTTGAAAGGAGTGATGAGTAGCTTTCTTAAAAAACTCTGTCGTCCTTTTGTCCGGGAAGCCATTCTGCAATATTTTCAATATTGACGGTCTGTTTTGAAGCAGACAGAAATATTTTAATATTGCAGCTGGCTTACCTGTTTCCCATCTGCATTCGTTGGTCTAATGCAGCGACAAAACAATGGGTTACGATATCAGYAATAATAATCATAATAATGGAATAACCAGCTATTAATAAGGATTTTTGATAATAGTTTTTTTTTATGGTGATAATAAGAGTTCTGCATCACATATCCTCTGGCACTATAAGCCTTCAACAAGAAATATCTAAAATCATAAATGACTTTGTTGTCTACTTTTGACTGGGCAATGTCAGTGAACGGATGGCCTCATTTTGACAATCTCATTTAAATAGTCAAAAATGTGTATACATTTACATGAATAAATGATGTGTGTTGTGGCTTGTGTGAGAAAAGTGGTTAGCTGTTGTTTCTCCTGAGTTGTCAAATAGTTTGCACAGCTTTAACCTTGTGAAATCTTGACAAAATGGGAAGCTTTATCGGGCATGCAGTTCCTGGAATCATGTTCTTCTTGGCATCAATTTGGTGGCTGATAGGAGCTTTGCGTCGGACTTTTTGGTATCATAAATCCTTCCAACGCCAGCCACTACTACAAAGACGTCAAAACAACACCACTAATTTGCCTCAGCATCGAGCAGTCTTTAGCCTGAACCGAGGGCGTACCGCAAAGATCCCTTTTGAGCCAATAGCTAAAATTGGTTTATGTGTAATTGGAGTGCTTGGAGAGTTGCTATACGAAAAACAGTGGGTTCTAATTCATAACGGTTTTGTAGACAAACATCTCAATAATTATGCGCACGCGTCAATGTATTGCATGTTTGGACTGTCTGGAGTAGTAGATCTACTGATGTATTATCGTGTGGCACCTCTTCCAACAGGCGTGGATCACCTTTTTCTTGCTCTTGCCTTTTTTGTGGAAGGAATGCTATTTTACTTCCACCTCGACGGCCGTCCAGAGATTAGCGTCCGCGTCCATACTTTCCTATACATGACAAGTTTTATTACTTGTCTTATTTTGTTGGCAGAGATGAAAGCAACCCGCGCTCTCATTCACACTTTTTCCCGCGCGTTTCTCACGTCTCTTCAAGGAACATGGTTTTTTCAAGTAGCGTTTGTCTTACATGGGTTTGAGCGATGGGAAAACAGCCGGGCGAACATCGAATTTATTGCTATTGCCTTCGTTTGGCATGTCCTTATTCTTGCAAGCCTGTATCTCGTCATATTTGTGGTTTCTTACCGAGTATACTGCATGAAAACTTCACAAGGACCACAAGAGATCAATGAAGACGAAGCCACTGATGATGAATTTGAATAAAACTTACTATTTTCAAAAGGCGGCTTATTTCTCCATTGTGAGCAGTTATTGCATAGTAACAATTCTATATTCGTAACAATAAATAGATATTTTAATAAGAAGGATAAGTTTCAGTAAATTTTACAAAATTAAGTTGTTTTTAAGTGGTCAATTGCGATGCGATTACTGGATGGTACGTAATGCAACCGTTATATGGATAAACATTTACTCGTGCAGAAATTAATTATTCATTTTATTGTTAAAACTGGTGTTATATCTTAATAGGTTTAATCATTATTTACACTTTAGTCTTTTACTAGCTTTGTTAGCGTTTAGATAGCAGTGTTTTACTTCGCTTATAAGTGCAGGTCTAGAAATGAACATGGCCACAGTAATTGTTGAAGACTTATTTTCGAAAAACATCAGTATAACTAAATGTTATTGAATTATACAATAAAATAACATGGATATTCATGTTTTTCATGGTATCCCTCAATGCAACAGATAGTGTTATTAAGTGAATTATAAAAGTCGAATAAACACAAAAGAAAGTCAAAAGCATTGTGATATGGAATACACTAGACACCATTCGGAGTGTTGCCACTAGCAAATTTTAATAAGCGAAAAAAAKTTTCTAATTTTTCCACCTTTTTTATGATATAACATTYTAATAAGCTTTAGGCACAATTTTATAAAAGGCTACGTTATACCTCCACAGAAACCATTGAATCAACAATTGTGTATAATAAATCCCAAATAAAGCTATTTCAAGGGTATAAATGGCTTTACTACAGATAAAACCCGCAGTATAACAAAATCCACGTTTTATTAATATTTCTGGCTACTATTTGCAGTAGTATTTGCAGTAATTTCTTAATGTTTTTGTTGATTAAAAGTAAATCAACAAAAAAAGCCTTTTTGCCCCCGCGGTTTTGTCWCTAGTATTGTTATRAGTAAACGACAACACCTGCTGCAAGTGGCAGTGGATCTCTATAGGGAGAATTTCCGTCGTGTATATGAAATAATTCATGAGAATTCGAGTAGTAGTGAATAGGTGGCTTAGACCTTATTGTTACCGAAACCTTTAGCGTTTTTTATATGGCGAAATGACATGGCAAAAGACTATATGTTCTTTTTCTTACCATGCCACAGACGATGTCAAAAGTATATATAAACCAGACCACGTAAGAATTGTCAGTTCGTAGTTTGTTTGTTTGTTAGAAAACAGTCAAGTAACTCGCCTTGACTTTCGATCGTCTCGTTGATCTACTTAAAGATATCGTGCGTCGCGCGTTAGTTAATTGGCACCGGCTTGTTATCTCGACGCGAGCCTCAAGCTACAGTCTCACTGTCAGAGAGCAAATGCACTTCATGATCCATGAATGAATTGAACAAATTAAACAGGACGAATTTATGCTGATTCCTATTTCCTATTTAGAAGTAATTACTACTTTTTATTTTATGTATCTTAATAAAAGACAGGGGGTGTGCTATCCGCTATGAAACCTTTGCCGAAGAGCGTAAACATCGGAGGGTTTGAGCATATCCGACACCCCTGCTGGTAGCTTTTCAGTTTTTCTCTCTTTAATGCTCAATGTAGAAACAGCGCAGGACTGGYATAGACGCGTCGCAACACACAGGAAACTGCTGACACAATGCGAGGTATAACACTGTTAAATAACATTTGAGTCCATCCCATTATTGAAATATATTTATTTAAAAATCCCTTCATATACATAAACCTCGCTAAGTCGGCCAGTGAGATCGAGGTACATAAGGTTTACGACTTAGAGACTTAACTGTATTTTAGAAATTCTCTGATATATCTTTGAAAAGCTTCTTTAATTCTTTAATTATATTCGTTGAAAAAACTGAGATATTTTACAAAACTCAAAATATTAAACTGTTCCGACAAAGCTATGCAGGAAATAATCTTTTCGATCGTATTTTTTCTTATTTACTATTGTTGCTACTTGTACAGTTACACCAATTTTTTGGGGAGCTCCGTTCAACGGGTGCAATTCTTCGTTTGCAGGTTACGTCACAGCGGCCATCTTGGAGGAACTTTAACAAAGGATTTCTCATTAGTATCTATTGTTCATTCCTCCAACATGGCCGCCGGTCGTTTATCTTTTGAATCTCATGGGAATGGGTAAAAATGATCAATTCGTTCGGTACATACTGTCAGCAAATTTCTTTCATGAGTCATTATTTCTAAATCGTTTAGTGAATTGTACCACTGACTATTAAATAATGCGTGTTGTTCGGAAAACATCCTGAGACACCATAAAACACGAACGGAAAACAGCAACACAACAACATGACTCAGTACTTCCGTCCATCCCATGATGCATCTCGCCAACGTCAATTGGTGCAAGAAACAGACACAAAAAATTGAAATAGTTGCACCTAATCCGTGAAACACTTACTAATTGTTGATGTGTTAATACTTCAAATGAAACAAAGAAAAAGAATCCGCTAATGTTTGGTACTGACTATTATTTCACGGTTTAGGAGTATCCTAAGAAATAGGCCTTTTGCATGAAACGGTCACATGGTACAAAATCCGCCATACTGGATGGCAAAAGAATGTAAACAACCTCAAAAACAAAAGGAACGCAGCCCGTCAAGCTTGACTTTTCTTTGTTTTGAACATCCCAGTGGGTATTTTGCCATACAGTAAGGCGGATCTTCTACCATGTGACCGTTTCATGCAAAAGGCCTATTAATTAAGGTGTCTAGACTCGAATTCGCTAGTGTTATGTGTTTTGGAAACTATTAGACACCAACAATAGTTAGAGAGAAGACATCCAAACCCGTGAAACAAAGTTCAACCATCACACTATGATAGTCGAATATACACAAAAAACAATGCACTTAGAGCCATGAGGTAGTAACGTGTATTAGTGTAATATCTATTTCACGGGTTTTTTGACTTCATTCTATTTAACAGTCCAATGGAAATCACTTTACGAATGTCTTCCTAATTCAATTGCTATCTCTTGTTGACATTATCAAGACTGTGAGTGTCGCTATCATTTCATTTGTATCCTTTTCTACTTCACTCCTCGATGGAAATAGTACTTGTAGTCTATTCAATCATCAACATTTACACCAGAGAATTGCACATTAAGGGAATTGTCACTACATTTCACCTGGCCAMCATCTTTCTGTAGTTAGTTTAGTRGATCAGTTTATTAAAAAAGCAAGGTCTGTAATCTCGTTATCCAAATAGTTTAATGAAACACGGATGGCAATAAGGCTTATCATGCTGCTCCTTAAAWGTACCCTTGTTGAGTTGTTTTAGACAGAAGGCGCAAACAAAGTGCTCGGGATGGAACTTACGATGCATTGCAGTGATACATCGGCCGGTGATCGGTTTTTGACAGCTGTAGCACAAGGTTCCTCGTCTGGCGTGATAATGCATCTCACAATATGGACGCCCATCGTGGTCGAAGAAGCTGCCTCCGGGAAAGGGCTGGCGGCATTCCTAGATACAAACACRATGTTTGAATGATGGGAAATGAAAGGGAAAACAAAGGAAAAAAGACGGATTGAATTGAAGGAGGACGGAAAAATAGAGAAAAAATGAAATACAAGAAAGAGTGAAAGGGTGAAATAATGAACAACGAAACAAATAAATGGACAAATGGATGAATGAATGGACATAATATAGTGATAAAAAAAGAAAGAATAATAGCAAACAAACAGAATGAAAGAAAAATGAAAAAAAAAACCCGGACACCAAATCAAATAATGACTTACAAAGCAGACGAAGCATTCAGCGTGCCAATGAGCACTAAGAGCAGAGATGTAGTTATCCATGATTGGTTTACCACAACCACCACAACGAGGAGCAAACATGGCGTAGTAGTCTTCTCGACAAAAAGGTTTTCCATCGCGTTCATGGAAGCCTGTGTCTCCAAATGGCTGTCCACACTCGGCACATACAAAGTGCTCTGGATGCCAGGTTTGGTCAAGCGCCGTAACACATGACTGAACAGAACAAAGAACCATGTATTAGATGGGAAGTTGTCACACGTGTCGAGTTCAATGCAAATGTTTCTGTTTGTTTTCATCTCATTCGCATTGAGTTCTCTACTAATGACAACTTAGATCGTGTTATCAAACTATTGAGTTAAACAATATGAACGAAATTGTACTTATCAAACAATACTAGTAGATAGCCTGTGTAGCGGCTCTCCCCGGTCCCCCAAGAGCCGCTACTCAGGCTAAACAATAGAAGATAAAGGGTTTTCTACCATTTCACGTACAAAATTAATGAGATAATATGATCTCTAAATTATGGAAGAAACCCCTCAAGATTGCCCAGATTGTGTTTTTGAGTCAGAAAAATATCAAATTAAGAACGCTGAATATTTCATATTGCTGGACATTGATTATCCCATTATTAAAAACTTAGACCTTAATGAGAGAAACCATAGACGTTTAAAATGGGAAAAACATGGAAATCTATATGACCAAACACTTACATCAAGGATAGGCCCATTGCAATATGCACATCTGGGTGCAAACGTATCGTGGTAATCTTTTTCACAGTAAGGCTTCCCGTCTCTCTCAAAGAAGTTCTTATTGCCAAGAGGGAGTTCACAAGCGACACAAGTGAAGTGTTCTGGGTGCCATGTTCGTCCGAGTGCTGTACAAACTTGACCAATAATGGGTTTATTGCACGCTGCACATGTCCCTTTCTTAGTAGTGCTGACACCTTGTCTGGACATGTCTGTTTGAAGTGTTCCTAGCATGGAGTCTAGTTGACTTACTTTACCAACATTGGCAGTTTGTCCTGGAATAGAATTAAATAAGAAATAAAATAAAAGTGATTTATCTGGCAATCTTCATTCTCTTTCCAATCTTCAGGCTCTAACATCAAATCTTTTATCTATTTTGGTATATATTGTAAATTTTAACACRCAATTCAGTCGTAAGACTGCAAAGTGTTTTTATTTAATAAACGATCTTCTTCCTCATCTGCAGTTGCCCTCACATTTGCGACATTCAGTGGACAGYGGTCTGGCCAATTTTTTGCWTCAGCACAGAAAAGACTAAGTAAAAATACATTCTAAACTACCTCCTTGTTTAGATTTCTGTGGTTTAGCATATTCTCCACTTCCTCTTGAAGGGCCGTCAGTATTAGAAGCACCACCAACATTAACCTTGAAGTCTGACAGAGATGCCATAAGGTCATCTAGTTCTTTGGTTGCACTTGATGCAGTACGTCCATGGCTGTCTAATACTGGAGGTACATTATGATATTGTGGCTGGTGGTGGACTGGCTGATGCATCGTCGATGTTGATATACTTTTTGGAGTTTGTTGCGCAATACTGTCTAACTCATCAAGCATGGCGTCCACTGTATTTAACATAAAACATTCATTTAGTACTTTGTACCAACTATAAAAGCATACAATGTATGACCTACTACTATTTAGTGGTACAGTGGTCTTTGAACAACATAAAGCAAGGGAATTAGCATGTTGTAAATTATTCGTATTATTTATGTTGCTCTTATCTCTTACAAAACAATAAAACCAATAGCTCACATTACATAATTCGGTTGACTAACCGCTCACAAAAGAATCCCAGACAGGCTGAGAGGAAACAATAGATAAACATTGTTTTCCTGGGAACCTTGCCTTCAATTCTTTTGTGTGCGACCAGTCAACTAGAATATTGAAAATAGGCTATAAAAATATAAACTACTTCATTCTTACAACAGAAAAAAACTGTTTAAAAAAGACAAACAATATCATATTAACACTAAAGAGATTTTCATTTACATCATTAAACAAGCTTGTGTTAGTAATCTACAGTGAAAGTATTGTATTATCTCTACACTTATAAGCAATCGCTATGAAAGAAACCTTACGGATTTTATATGATGTTGACTCCATTCTGACCAGATGCAATAATGTTGTCAAACCACCAAGCTCACATTTAAATATATCATGTATGTGAGTTATTACTTAATGACTATTTAAAGTAACATCACGACAATAAATAGCCACACAAAGACAATGTGTCCCCAGGGTAGAGWTTCTCTGAAATTGWATACCAAATTCCAGAAAAATCTARAYCTTTCTCCAGAACAATCTAGAGTACTATTTCCAAAACAATCTAAAATACTCTTTCAACATTCTAGGATATTCTTTCATCAAAAGCATGAAACCCACTGTATACTGTTCTTGAAACATTTGATTTGGTTTTTTGAAGTTGGATGAATGGATTCACATCTCATAGACAGCTGTTATTCTTTGAGCATGTACAAGCAATGACATGGCAACCAAACATTAGATCACATGGTAGGTAGGTAAATTAATAAACTTTTTTAAGATGGCAATTGCAAGATTAGTTATCACTTCCTTAAAACATCCTCCTACCTGAGGGTCTTTTATTTGAAGAAGTTTGACCATTTATCACAGGTTTTTGTGAAGTGTCCATAATAACTGGAGAAGGGTCTGGTTTTCTTGTTTTTACTGAAACAACAAATCCAAAAATTTAATCAATATACATCAGATATGGCATAAAGATGTGGCTCTACAGCAATACTTGGGGAAGATTCTTGTCATTATCTGTGTTGTATAAAGGACATATGTTATATTCCTTGTTGAAATTCATGCTTCCTTTTCAAAAACAACCTAGTTACAGGTTTATCATTAGAAAAGTAACTAAGGTGGTGAGGGTGTTGGGAGTTTGAAAAAATGTCATTTTAAATCTTTTGAAGTGCACCTAAAGAGGAAAATCTTTTTCTCATGCTGCCAAATAAWTTTTTTTAACAAAATCTAAAGGAAAAAAAAATCGTTTCTGCTGTAGCTTTCTTCACATGTCATTTTTCAACTTAAGAATTAAAAGATTATAAAGATGTGATTACACAGATTGTACAACATATCATCTGAATATAATGCTATGCAGAGAATGAAGACACGCTGTATCAAGTTCCTTAGCATTTTTGAGAGTAAAGTTTCAAATTTATTTACAAAATGTTATAGCTAAAATGGCACAGAAACAACTTGTAAATGAGCAGTCCTAAAATTTAATTTTATAAAAAGGATAATTGAAAGAAAAACAATGATGCAGTTCTTGCACATATTGAATAGTCATTCTAAGCATATCAATTTGCTTTTACATCAAATCTAATAGTTTTAACATGTTTGTTATCATGTAAATCCCAGAAGAATTGAGTAATTTACATCTTTAAGTTGAGTATCATATTTAGAAGTGCTGAATTACATGCTGCTTAAGTAAATTTTACAGTTTTAGAGTGAAGTCACAAAATTTGATGATTAAAGTCAATTAATAATCTACATTTAAAAATATATTCAAAATTTATTTAGTTTATTCAAGTCTATTAATAATCTACATTTAAATATATTTAATATTTATTTAATTTATTTATTTAGTTTTAGAGTGAAGTCATTAAATTAATGAATCAAAATTTAATGATTAAAGTCTATTAATAATCTACATTTAAAATTTATCAGAAGTCCTATTTTAGGTGATTAGTAAGAAATATTACTCCATCAGAGTCAACTCAGAGGTAATAAATGCAAACAAGGTTCTATTCTAAATGGAAAAATTCTCGGAAAACAGGTAGACCTGGTTATCTCACCTTTGCCACCCTTTCAACRTGTKATTTWGATTCCACAACTCACAGCTGCTCATTATGGAAGATGATTTTAATTCATTGACTCAATCAACTTTTAATATTGTAACAAAAGATTTCATCAAACATTTTAGGATGACAAAGAAATGTCAAACCCTCACCACAAACACATCATTAAWAAACAGAATGGGAACCATCTCATGAACTCTAGTGAAGTAGCTCATGTTAAATTATCAATTTATTTGTTTTATGTTTCTTTACAGACTTATAATAAGGCAAGAGTAACATTCTATTAATATTCAAAGAAGTCATTGGAAAAACTTTCTTTTAGTATGTACTTGTATCACTTGGCTCAAAATACAAACATGTATCTAAATTAATTGCTGAAGCTAGCAATAATTTGTCACAGATGTCAACAGGTTAGAGAATTGAAGTTACCCACAAAGAAGTACAAGAATCAATTAGAAACACTGCAAGGGATATGCCACAAGAAATCACTACACAAATCTAGAAATACCATATATCTGACTATTAAATACATGTGCTTCAAACAGATAGAAAGTACTAGTCGTGTGTAATTACCTATACATTAATTAACCTAATTACAAGACTTGACCAGTATGAAGCCAGCAGCCTTCCTGTAGGATACTGCAGGATTGCTAATGGTTACTATATGAATAATAAATACAGATCTGCCTAAATATTTCAGGGCACTTCAAATTTGAGCACTGTCCTCTTAAAAAAAATCTCTTTGACAGATTTAGCAATGCCGTTTCCACATTATTCATATTCAAAAATTAAAATGTGCAGGTGTATAAAATGACAGCTTCACTTTATGAGAAACACATACAGTTCAACTCCACAACACATATACTTTTCATAAAATTGTTAAGCTTTAAAAAGTGTGATAATATTACATATTTGTCTATCCAAAATGCCAACAAACTGGACAAACGCATTAGCATGCTCCCAAACAAACATGGCATGTTTTCGTCCTCAAACAAAGGAAAATAATAAAGTACACTTCTAGAAATATAAAATAATACTTTCATTTTTATCCAAGTTATTTCTATTTAGTGCAGAGAAAAATTAGAAAGGTATTGTAAATCTTGACGATTTTTAAAACATGAGAGCGAGTGTCGAAATCAATCTAGCGATACAAAATCCATTGAAAGTTGTTTGTTGACATGGGCCTCGAGGGAATACCTAAACGTGACAAAGTTTCAATTTGAAGATCGAAACTAGCCATTTCATATATTTTTTCTTAGGTAAAACTAATATCAAAACAATTTAGTGGTTAAGATGTAGCACTGTTTGTAAACACAATCTCGCTGTATGCAATAGCATATTTAAGTCCCTCCCATCGAGCAAGTGCTCTTATTTCAGCTCTTTCAGTTCGCTTGATTCAAGTCGCAAAATATTGAATCGCATCATATCGAATAACCTTCTATAAAAGTTTCCTTCCGAGCTCTACTTTAAATACTTCAGTGGGTAGCCAATAGATAAACCCCTAGACTCTATATACCTTGCAATATTTTCAAACACAATGAAAAATATTAACTTCGTTTAAAATTGTACAAATAACACGAGTGCATTTCCGTGTAAATGTTATACTGACCTGACGAATCTGATGAAGGATATTGAGGTTTTCCAAGATCCTCTAGTAGACTGTCCAGCTCGGAAAGATTCATAGCTAAGCTTGATGACTGTGTCGACGCTATTTCAGGTGGGGGAGGAGGAGGAAAATCATCTTTATGACTTGAAGACGGACCTACTGGCTCAAGTGCATCGAGAGAAGGTGGTGGTGGAAGCGGCGGTGGAGGTGAATCAGGAGATGATCTTCCATTAACAGGATGCGAAATATTTCGCGAATTATTCACAGCAGCCGTATTCGTCGCTTGAAGATCGGCCAGCAGAGCATCTAAAAATTGAATATTTAACTTGAGTTTTTCTTGAATAGTCAAGTTCTTCGTCTTCCCTGGCATCCCGGTGTCAGGCGAAAATCACGCAAAACCAAGCATTCAAAATCTTCTGGGCGAAACTGTTGTTTGGTGGATTTTTGTTGAGTGGTTTTTKAATGAATTCGAGAGCTTTTGGTTCGAGCTGTTTGTACTCATTTGCCTCCTTTTGATGACACATACAATAATATAAATAATTTACAACGTGTCGAATCCCATGTGAGCCCGCAGATGTAAATTTCGAGTTCGAAGTACTTCTGCAGGTAGTTCGAATCAGCGATTCTCTTAGCTTCATCAGTTTCGACACGATTTTACTTGTCACCCTTGGTTGGATAATAAGTAAAGGACGTCCAATGGTGCTTTCAATTTGACAAAAAATAGACGCATTTACATGTAATACAGCTTCAACAACTTTTAGGTAACATTTCGTAGAATACTCGTCAAAGATCGTCAAGTCAGATAACATCGAACTTAAAATCGCTGTCGATTGAAATAATTGTTTATCTTTTCAAAGCAAAAAGTCACATTCTAAATATTTTATTGATAGGCTTAGTAATGATTAATAGCGTTGTAAACCTGTTCTATGTCAAACTCAATGAAGAGAATCTTGATTTACTACGAGTGAGAACTTGCCTTAATAGTGATAAATATAATTTACATATTGTGGATGTGTTAGGGTTCAAAACAATCCGAATGCCATCACATAACAGCTTTCGTAAACATCAATCAAAAAAAAAAAGAGAGCTGAACTGCTCAAATAGTTTTGATAATGCGATTTTCGGACAATTATTTCAGCAGACTGAACATCCTCTGAGGACGTGTTGAGAAAGTTTGTGTGTAAGGCACTGCTCAAGCAAACACAAGATAAGAAATCAAAGTTTTCAGCGTACCTAAGTCCTCAATGCCATCCATTTGCAAACCGTCCCCTTGTAATACTTCTTCTTAACTACAGGAACACAAAACTGATAGTTGTGTGAATAGACCAAACCCAAAGACTACAACAGATACCAGGTCAAATGTGCAATACAACGATGGATTACAACCAGTTTCGTTCGTCGAAGCGTTAAATCTGCTAATCGGAAGTACTCGGGCGAGTTCGGCTGTCAAATAGCACTTCGTGACGTCTTCGGAAGCCATACGAAAGGATCGTTTGTTCGGAGACGTCAATCAGCCAACGATGTGGGATTCCGCAAATGCCGCGACTAAATATGGCGATTGTCTTAAAAGGGAGGGACCAGACACGTAACACTATGTAATGCAAATTACGAAATCTGAGTAGAGCTGAAAAGGTTGAAGGTTATCAGAAAAGAATGATTTTTTGTAAGTCGATCTGTGCGTGAGTTGTACGAAGCTATCCAAGTGATCTCCGCTATTGATGACATGCTAGAATTATKCGAAGACTTTACTACAGAGTTTTTTGTTTTAGTCTAATTGCCTTTTCCAATTTTCATTGGCAAAAACCACARTGTTTATGGCTTAACCTCAAAGGTCGAATTAATAAAATAAATGAGAAAATTAGTTTCGTTTGGTGAGATGTGGAGATAACGTAGATTTTTCTAGGGATGAACTGGATTTACTCTATAGGTTCAATAGTGCCATGAAAGATCCAATCGGGAACTGAATAGTTTTCGTGACTTAGAATGAGTTCTTTATTAGTGGGGAAATGGATTTTTGCCTTTCCTCCTGGCCTTTCTTAATTAGTCTGGAATGGAATTTTATGCAATGGGTTCGGGATTATAAAATAATACAATAAAAAAAAGAGAATAGGATCCAGATCTTAYGAGCTAAACCTAAGAGCTATGCGCATGCTCACACCAGATTGGCATCCACCTGCTCACTGAGCAAGTGACGAAGGGGGACTGGGACGATGATTAACTTAASCCTTTCTACATTATTCGCGTGATATGTACAATATCCATTCAAAATATTCTCTGCGTTGTCATGATTTTCTTCTCCTTAGACAAACTTTGGTCAACAGTGTGAAATCAGGAAACGATGCAGCATAGTGAAGTTAGGCTATTCCCGTAGGTGTTTTTCGTCTTTTAAGTCAGTCCGAAATGCTAAAAATACCTCCAATATTGCATTAGCCTCATACGTGGGCGTTCCACAAAGTGTTTATTAGAAAACAAAAGAATCCAGCCGGTTGTTTCATCTGTATGATGTACTCATACTAAAGTCCTATCTAAGTACAGGGTGTTCATACTAAAGTCCTATCTAAGTACAGGGTGTTCATACTAAATGTCCTATCTAAGTACAGGGTGTTCAGTGTTTCGAGAGTTTACAAAGCGTTACGCATGAAGTGTCAACCCTAAACAAAAATAATAAAATATATTCTTTCATTCAGTGAACCTTTTGTAATGCATTGCGTTATTTCTCATTATTGCTTGTGACTTGAAAATGACATTAAGCGCTTTGTCTTCCTTTACTAATAATCGTATTATCACTCTCTTAAAAAAAAAAACATGAAAAACGTGCTTGTAACAGTTCTAAACAAATTTGTCCTGGTCATTGGAGAGTCTCTGTTCAAGTCATATGAGATGGCTCGAGTCCTATAGCTCGAGTCTTTTTCTTGAACCCTTCTCGTCGAGTCCCGGCTCGAGTCCTCAGACTACGAAAATAGCTATCCCCATGCCGTCTAACTTAGGCCACTAGGCTACAGATTGTTGACTTCATGACAGTTGTATTGTGGTTTTTACGATTCGGCTCTTGTACCTGACTGAGTGCTAGTTTATAGACTCGGGACGGAATTGGAAACCTATGAAAGATGCAAATGCAGAAAGCGTACTTCGTGGGACGGTTCAACTTCTAAACCCTCAAACACCGGGACCCAACTAACATCTATTCTTTCTCCTGTATCATACTACATAGATGTGACTTGTGAGTTTGCAACTGTGTATTTATCAGATTCAACTTGGACTTCATCTTTTTCCTGTTCACCAGGCCTTCTTCCTTTCCTAAAACAAGGCATGTAGTAAAATTCTGGTGC